TAACTATGACCTGGATGACTGAGAATCTTCATAGACATCATGTCAGGACAATCCATCGAATAGTTATTGAGATATTTCACGCTGGACCAAAGTGGTGGAACGATCGTGCGGCTGAAAAAACAAGCAATTCAGCTGCATCTAAAAGTAACGAGGGACATTTGCACATCATAAACATAATGGAGGATCCCTTTTCAGCAGAATGACAGTCCATTGGCCCTCTACCTACTTCTACTAGTCCCTTCAATCATCAAATGTCGCACTGGGGCTGGCCCTGTTCCTGGTGTAGTGTAACCTGACTATTAGCATGAAATGAATGCTATTTACGGTGTCAAGAAATGAGGCAAATAAATAAATAAATCCAGTTACGCGCCACAAAGTGGGGCCAAGGAGAAAAAAGGCAGTTAGAAATCCATCAGAATGTCATTTTGTGTGTCTCTGCCTCTCTCTCTCTGCCCATCCAGATAGATATCAGCTCATTGCAGACCTCACTCCCATTAACCTGTTCACAGGTTGCCAAGAGAGGAGTAGTACTTTTCACCTTTCTATCAACTCCCCTTGCCAATAGACACCCACTCACCCCTTTCCCTCTTTTTCTCCCCCCACTTTTAGGTCTGTTTGAGTAAGTTCCACAAAAGATAATTTCCTTTTCAAATTACAGCAGGCCTTTTCACTGACCCGAGGGCATTGTGATAATGCAGTGTGGGAGCTGAGAGTTTCTCTGATGAGGGGTGAGAGCAAATGCACTGGCCAGCACTAATGTCTTGTCAACACCATACTTGGACATGGGCGCCTATTGGATACCGCACAGCCTCAGACTGACTGAGCAGGGCAGGTCAGTCAGATTTTGTGCTACAGAAAAGTCTAGTATAATTAGCTGACACTTGCTTCACACAAAACTTGTTAGTGTATGTGAAGGTACAGTGTGTGCTTTCGTAAATAGCCAGAAAAAAAGAAGAAAAAAAACACAACTTTGGATAGGAAGCCTCAACAGGATGTGTGAATGACTTGCTGAAGCAGCTTGCAGGCTGTGTCGTGATTCATGGTCTAATCGCCTCCCAGTCCAGTCAGGCATGAGAAACACAGAGAGGAGGAGGTGTCAGGTACAGCGAGGAATACTTTGATATTAGAATTCAAGGCATCTACGTCTTGCCTTGAGCAGGATAATCCCATTATGCCTCAGGTCACAGCAGCGCATGCAGAGAGAGAGAGAGAGGCACAACTCACTTCAAAATAAACTGCTTACGGATGACGAGAATAACACAAACAGCCGTCAGAAATAACATCAAACTCCGACCCAAACTGAATTAGAACATCCAATTTAGGGGTGAAAAATACCCAAGATATTGAAAAGAGAAAATAACGCAATTGGATTTTAAAAAAGCAGGAACGTTTTTCCAGCTAGACTTTTACAGTTCATCTTGGATGTTTGAAGATGGAGTGTTTTTTCATTACTGTCTGTCAGCTTTCATTATGAAATAAGAAAATCTAATTTCGCTTGGTGTATCTGACAGTTTTTAAAACTAATTCATCCTGTCAAGATAAAGCCCTGGCAAACCCAGCAGATGGTGTTTGTGTAACTGAGAGCTTTGTTTTCGGTGTACACACTTCTTAAGTGCAAGACCCTTCTTGATTTAGATCAAAATGTGCATTGTGTTTTGTTTCTTTTTTTTTCTTTAGGAGAAGGAAAATTGTCTCCAATCTTTGACTACTATCTTTTGTTTAGATAAGACCCCAAAAACAAATTGGTTTAGTGCTCTTCAATTTAGATTTGGGTCTTCTAATTCTTAGATAATTTTAGATATTTCTAAACAAAAAAAGCGAAATACTACAAATAGAAAGCTGCAACTCTGAGATAGTGAAATATTGCTCTCATATCGGCCTTCCATTAAAAATAGGATTGGTGAGTCATGTCATCCACTTCCAGTAAGATGTGTGCTCCTCCCTGACCTGAGCTACAAAATGCCATTTTACTAATATTTTCTACTTCAGATGCCTGACCAGGGAATTTATTCCAGGGAGGGAATGTGGGAGGATTTTAATCAACAGCTACAGAGGCATCAGTCTGTAAAACCTGCAATGAAACCAGCTGTAAGCTAATGACCTAAACTAACCCACCTCAAATTATTTTATTAGTAGGAGTTACACTGGAGAAGTTTAATGTGCAGAATGACTTAAATGCAGTTTTTGAGGTATTTTTCTTACTAAATACAACATTTGGGGAAAATAGGATAGGATAAGAAAATTGTAATGTTAAAAAAAAAAACAGCACAGATATAACATGTTAATAGTTTGGCATCTTCAGAAATACATTTATTTACTTTCTTGCAGAGAGTTAGAGCTGCCAACAGCAGCCAATTAGCTTAGCTTAGCACAAAGACTTAGGTACCAGACTATTTCTTGGTGATTAGCAGTGAGCTATAGTCAGGGAACCAGCGTAAACTGCAAGAAGTCACTGCACCCAGCCAAGAAATAACCTGGAACCTAATCCCTTGTAAAACAACATTTTACACTTTTTTAACCTGTTTTTATTCTGATTAAAAAAACATTATAATAATAATATAATATATATAATGTGTTAATTAGCTTTAAGGGTGCTGGTAAGCATATTTTGTTACAGTAGGAAAGAACCAAGCTACATGTTTCCAGTTTTTGTGCTAAACTAAGCTAACCAGCTGCTGGCTGTAGCGTCATATTTACTGTACAGACGACTCTGCTGTGGGACCACAAAAGCCACAGAAACAATCATGTTGCGACGTCTCTGCCTGAATAGTTGGGTGTTGAACTACTAACCTTATAAACTGTGCTTGTATATGTCAGTTTTGTACTGAACTGAATGTAGCAGTTTCAACCAGCAAGTGACTGAACAAACTACTAAAGTAAAGAATGTCTAGGTGGTATGAGTGGTGATGTCTAAGAAAAACAATCAGTGTTCTCCTCTAATTCAGCAAGAAACTAAATATGTTAGCAAAATGTTGAACTCCTTTAAACAACATCAGTGAGAGCTTATAATGACAGAGAAAATGACTGGAATGAGGATTTCAGTGGCTACAGGTGGTCTCTGCCTACACAACAGGTGATTTATCTCCAGTATGTGTATTCTGCCCGACTCATTGTACTGCAGAGAATGAAACACCGAAGTCAATAGCAGCACACAGAATTGTCAAACAGCCAGCCCTCAGATCCACACTGCGGTTTCCAAACATGCAGAATACATTTCCATTCAACTTTTGTGAAGGTCTTTTATGGCAGAGCAACAAAACCCAGAGGAGCTATGGTATGAAAAGATCTTTCATTATTAATAGAATATTAGCCCACATAAAGGTGAATGATTGAAGGATTGTGTTTCAACACTGCAGGGGCTGTAAAGTGCACAGGGGTTAATTCTCTGATCCAAGGGTAGATTTGTATCATTGTTTGTAGATAGAAAGGGTTTTTCCAGGGGACTGGATTCATGTCTTCTCTCGCTGTTCCTTGGAGCACTGTGGTGGATTGCCTGGTCTGATTAATCTTAATGAATTATGCAAATAGCCTTTATCTCAAATGATTTAGCAATGTTTCTGTATTGTTTTATTAATGCACTTTTGAATTGCTCTGTATAATCACGTAGCCTTTCCTCAGCCGTTCGCTGTTTGTAATTCATCGCCAGCTCTTTATTAAATCCATGGTGGTCTCCAGTGAATTGCATGCAGGAATGAGAAATTAGTCATTACTGTAATTTAATGATTTCTAACCAAACAAGAGGCAACCTGGATTGCTAACCATAGCACCCCTTCGCACTCCTCCCCTTCAGCGCTGGTCCCTCGGGTCTGATCTTTGGGAGCGAGGCATCTACATTTTTGCTTAATTAATTATGTTGAGTATAAGGAGCGTTCTGCGGTGAATGCACTGTTTCAATTACAGATGAAAATTGACTTACAAAATGTGAAATTCCCCATAAAGTGGTGGTTTGTTTGGAGTATAGACACCCTTACAGTTGACTAAAGCTTTCTCTACTTCAGTGTGAATTTGTGTAAGATTAGTATCAACTGTCTTTTTGTCATTTTGTTACAACAAAACATTTCTGGAATTTGATTATTGTTCATACACAGATGGTATGTGGATGTTTGTCTTGGAGTCAAAAACAAGACCGCTATAGAGAGAATCGACATTTTAGAAATGTCTCTTGTTATCACAACAGAGGTGGGGGGCGCTGTATTATCGCATATACCATGGGATCCTGTCCCTAAGGTCTAAATGACACATGCAGGTGAAATATAAATATGTCTCTGACTATTTTCTGCCTCCTCAGAGCAGCCTGCCTCTAACCTGTTGAGAGGGGAATAGAGCTGCATGTTGATATGAGTGATGATTGTAACCACAGTATATAAATGTCAAAATGGATGGACATCTCCTTGGAGTACACAGATTCAGATAGTTAGCATGGCCTCTAGGGCTAAAAAACCCTGTTCTGCTGTGCTTTGGTTTCTGTCTTTGTCCTCGGAAGGTTTATTTTCTGTAACCTTTTAATATCATGCCCTAAAAATCCTTTTGGGATTTCTAACAAACAACGCCTTACTGGAAATCATTCAGACAAAAACAAAAGTTGGTGATGTGTAGCATTATTTCAACATAAGAAATGTAGGCTTGGATGACAACAACACCTAGCTTTGGAAATGAATCAAACAGGATTAGGGATGTGTTAGGGTGAGAGCTAATTATCAGTCTCTCCCTGGACTAGATTTCAGATGGCTTTTTGTGAAGTCTGTTCATTTTAAGAAACAGTGCGGTGAGATTTTCCCTACGTATTTTTGAACATGGCCTATTTTTGCATTTGCTGAATTTCACATTTCAGTTCCATCATGAACACAGTATTGACTAGCTGTGAGCTTTCCTCCTCCTCCTCCTCCTCCTCCTCTCTTTGTCAAATTATTTGCTTGACCTGCTAATTTAGTCTCAGCAGATACTGGCCTGGTATACAAAGAGAATTAACACAGACTGTAAAAACCCAGATTTTTCTTAACAGTGATATCCATTGAGTTAGATTTATTAAGATAATATTGACATTTGTAATCAATGGTAGTCACCAGGCTTTGAAAACAACAGATACCATTAAAACATTTTGGCAGAACTCAGCTATGTTGACTCTTGGTGACTTGTAGTCAAACATCATTACATTTTTTCTGGGTTTTATTGTTGTGGCATCGTCTTTTGTCTTTAAAAAAGGAGACTTGACATCCTAACAAACTTAAGAAAGCCAAACACTTGATAGTTTCAAATGAACAAAAAAAGAGAAGATATATCTGCTGCATAAGGCTAAAAGTAATGAAAATGCTTATGATCTCACTAGATCTTCAACACAGATATGCATCCAAGAGTCCTGGGGATCTTTGTGGCAAAATAACACAAATGTTTCACATCACATGGTTTTGCTTTATGGGTGATTTTTTTCTGGTGTAATCCACAGTCTTTTAGTCAATAAATATCTTCATGGTTGAGTCTTCTAGTTCATAGGAATAAAACTATAATACAAAGAGAGATTTGGTGGGCAGTAGAGGTCAGAGACAGCTACTGTTGATGCTGGATCTAAAGTCAGGACTCTTTTTGGATATGTAGTCTTATAATGCTCCATGGTCCTTTTCTTCCATTCGTTCAGTGGAATGTCCGTGATTATTATTTATCCTTGTTGGTCCCTGGTTTCCACCGGTCCTTAAAACGCATGGTATCCAAATGTCCTACAGTGTTGGTCAAACAAACAACGTCTGGTTCCAAGCAAGGTTATCCTGGAAATAGACGACTATCGTGTGACCTAGAAAGGGGGAAAAAAGAAATGTGAAGGAAATTGTGACAGTGACATGAATGGAAGCTGGGGATAAAAAGGGATTTGACTAATGATGACAAATACTAGTAGTAACACTCAAAGTCAGTGCTATCTGACATTTGACAGATACCACTGAGAGACGAGTGAAATAATTAAACCCACTGTACTTATTATAGTTGAGCCATGTTTATCTAAGCAGAAGTGTAGCAACAAAAAATCTAGATAAAATTTAAAAAATTACTTTAGAAAATCCAGGGTTCAAGTATTATGGTTTTGTAAACATGGACAAATGTCTATACACATAGTACTAACAATTGCTACTCTGTACTATACTCTGTAATTTCTAAAGTTAAGCATCACTTACATCACATTAAGCCTGCAACTAAAGATTATTTTCTCAATTAATTGCTTAACGGTTTGGCCTGTAAAATGTCATTAAATAGCCAAAAATTATTCATTGTTAAAATTGTTGCTGATGATTTTAGCCATGGAGCCATCGAGGGATGACAATGATAGTCAGTCTGCCCTTTGGTCCAGACTGAAATATTTAAACTATTGGATGGTTTGCTATAATATATTGTACAAACAGGAATGAATCCTCATGAATTTGGTGATACTTGGCTACTTGATACTGACTATTCTGCCATTTCTACTAGAATGTGATTGGGATGTCTTCATGTCCCCTTCAGGATGACTTAGTTAGCATTATCTTTTAATAACTGCAATAGACTCATTCAGTTTTTTGTCTATCGACCAATTTATTGAGGTATTTATCATTTCAGCTCCACTTCAAATTGTGACTCTGTCTCATTAAAACTAACTTGTTTTGGTGCCGCACATCGAGCAATTGCATATTTGTCAAAAGTGTGACAGGTTCAAGGTGTGTGTATTCCCAGCTGGCACATTCGTGACTCAAACATCTGTGGTGTTCTACAAAAAAAGTTTGACAGTGACAGAGACAGTGAGCAGCTAGAAGTCAGATGTAATGCAATGTACATCATGCTCAATAATTTCCATGCAAACAGGGGAATTATTATTATTCATGAATGGCATACTGCTAGTATAAGTATTCTCAGATGTTTTCATGAATATTAATCTAAAATATTGAAAGATGCAGTTTGTACTACTCTCACTTTAAGCATAATGCTAAAAATACTCTGGGAGGTGAATGTTGTTCCTTGTTGGTTTGCCCTTTAAAAGTAGAACACAAGTAACTTTTTGACTTGCCCTCTGAACAAAACACACTCTCACACACACACACACACACACATATATACAGAGAAATAAACCCAGGTGTTCCTGTGTGAATATTTGCACATTACTGTCATTCAATTAGCAGTTAGCAAGGTCTCACCAGTTAATCAGCGAGGGGTTTACCGCACGCAATCAGTCTTCCAAGCAATACGATTCTAATATTTTGTGGAAGTGTGATTTTTATGCTGATTAGAGCTGCAGCTGAAGACACAGTGCTTGCTGTTTGGGGAGTCACAATTTCATTTTCACCTCCATGTGAAAATCCTCAGGAATCATGGGTGTGAGGGAGCATATGGAAATTATTGGGTCTTGCTACTTTTGCAGCAGCAGGCTGTAGACATACATTCACATACTGAGTTAAACCTTGTTATTTGGTCACGACATTATCAGAGGCAAACAGTTTTAGTTATGGCCTCTGGCATATTTCTACTGGCAGCAACATTTTGGATCTACTGCATTGGTACAATAATCAACCAATACATAGATTTACAACCACAGTTATACTGATTATTGTTGTTCTGATACTTGTCATGTAGACAATATTTATTCTACGCATGTTGAGCTCAGTTTTACTTTCTAATTATAAAAGAAAATATAAAACATAGTAAAATATACAGATAGGAAACACATTTTTAACTGCATGAGAAGCTTATAAAGGGAATTTAATCTCATAAAGGATAAGTAGAAGGGATAAAGAGTTTAGACACAAAATCAACAGAGAATCTAAATCTAAAAAATGTATATGGCAGCAGAAAGAAAAGTGTGAAGCAAGAGAAACCTTATCAAAGCAATTAGCATGCCATGCTGTGGGTGTCACTGGGAGGGTTATCGGTGAGTAAACACACAAAGGGGAATCAAGGGAACGAAAGGCAGTTCCTCAGGGCTTGATCCTTAAGCTGCTTCAGGATGAAATACCACACTTGACTGGTCAGCTGCAGGTTCAAAGACCTACTGACAAACAAACTAATACCCTACTTTTGATGGAGAGCTACTGAAGCAGATGTGTGTGTTGTGCACATGTGTGTCTATCCCATAGTCTTATAATTTATAGAGCAATAAAAAAAAAAACTAAGCATCTCTTAATTTTGAGTTATTGAAATCTATTATTTTAGGTTTTAATGTTGATCTAAATTCGCAAATTCAGTGTCAGTCTCCAGCTACGTCTTAATGGACTATAAAAAAAACAAATCAATTATCAATAGAATAATTTAACTCCTCCTTTCAGGCTATCGACTAAATTTCGTCTTTCAGCCCTTTAACTATAAACATCAATTTATTTACACGCTGTTTCTGACTGATACTGCAGGCTGAGAACTACAATCACAAATTGGTTCAATTTCAGTGACAATAGCTTGTTTGCCGTGGGAAAAAAAACATATTTTACATTCAACTAAAACTTAAGCTGCCAATCTCCACTTCACCTGCTGCACCCCCAATCCCCGTTCACCAACGGTTGCAGGGAGTTGTGTATATTTTGTGCCATTAAATCCACCTCGTCTTCATTTTCCATAAAGGTTGTTTGTCTCCTATTGCCCTAATAATAGGATTAATTCTTCAGATTGCTATATTTTAATTTTAACATAATTATAATGTAAAAAACTTTACATCAGGCGGTGGTCGTAGAAAACGCTGTGGATTCAAGATCATTTATTCTCACTATCCCACTGGTCAACTGCATCTATGAGCTGTCCTTCATTTGCAGAGTGTAATAAGTTACTGCCATAGTAAATCAGGAGCTACATACATGCAAACTGTGGCCCAAAACCTTTTGAGCATCTTGATATACAGTTGTGGCACAGAAAAGTGACAAGTATCCCAGTACAAACTGTAAGTCTGTATACAGCATATTAAGGCCAGGATACATACTGTTTATTTTAAGTGTAGTAAAGTGAAGGCATATTTTCATTGTGTCTGGAAAAGAAATCTAACTCAGACAGCTATCCATCACCACCCCTCAACACATTCTGAATGAGCATCATAGCACCTGTCAAGTGCAAAGGCTCTGTGGTTCTTTTGCCTTCTGTCCTCTGATTGATAGGAAGTGAATAGGGGGAGCAGCTAGGGTTATAATTCCTGAAATTACCAGCAGGACTATAAAACTAGCTGCTCCCAGACATGCAGAGAAAGAGGTAACAACTGGAGTTGTCCAAGAGGGGGCCTGCAGGGTGTCAAGACATCTGATTTATTGATGTGACTTCATCATGAGGTGAAACGACAGCATCATCTTTTTTTATCAACAAAGCCATCGCTGGACATCAGAGAATAAAGAATTTATGGAATATATATGAGACATGTACTGCAATGGAGGAGTTTAATCACACCTCTATTTATCCAGTTTGAGAATATATTAAGAAAAATTAGTAACGTTTTCAGCGTTAATATAAAATAAATAAACAATATAACTATAGCATTTTCCAGAGCAGTAGACTTTAGACTTGGACTCCAGTAAGACTTAATAACAATATTTATTGATATTTTGGCTACTTGTGGGCAGCAGAACAAGCAGTAAACACAAGTGACATATAATGACCATATAAAGTTGTTGTGGTAACCATGTTAGCTAATGATTGCTTATCTTTACATCTTTCAGACATCTTTATTTATAGAGCATGTTACAAAACTGAAGTTACAAAGTGTTTCACACTAGGGAGCAATTATCATCAACAAATTCTAAAATGTGCTATGATATAATGAAAAAACAGTTTCAGTAATGTAAAATGAAAGGAATAGATTTCTTTAAAGGAATAAAAACAGAAATAAAAAGACAGTTAAAACTACATTAAAAAGCTGTTAAATTTTGAGTTTTGCTGTCTCCAATAGCTCCTTCGGAAGAGCTGCTAAATGCTAAATGTTCACCAGCATGTCGCTAAATTTGTATGTTAACTGTTTAGTCCTGGGCAGGTGGTGGGTTTTTCATGCTGTTTTGTTAAAAAAACAGCTGTATGCTGTTGGAAAGGGTTTGATGAGAGCTGTGAGACTGAAACAAACAGTTAAGTTGCAGGCTAAAAAAAACAAAACAACGAGCTGAAAGATACTAAAATGCATTGTATGGTCAGGTGATATTTTCTTGTGTTTGTCACTATAAGCTACCCTTTCACATACATGTAGTTATTTGATACATTTTCATTATAAAAACATTAATTAGTGCCACAAAAATGAGGACTTGAGACTTGAGTTGGACCTGAATGCTGCTGAAAGTTGTTTAAGACTTAAACCATAAACCTTTAGGTCTCAAGTTCTTTCCTGGCTACTGGCAGACTTTGAATAGCCACACACCTTTAATATGAGTTTTTAAGTTTATGCAGTAAAAGGATGTATTCTGTTACGTAAAATGTTTAGGTGCCAGGTCATTTAAATAGTGTTCAGAGACCTTAAAGGCTTGCAACTGACTAGCAGTTTGCTTACAAATTCACCTGGACTTCACCGTGACACTTTGACAACTTGTGATTTGATTAGCATATTAAATTAAAAGAAAATATAAGTCATCTATTATTCTATGCTGGATACTATGCAGGACAGGTTTGTTTTTTTTATACATGACTTATCAAGTAATTTGAGTAATTTAAATAATCTGGGGCTTTTCTCAAAAGAAACTGTCACACAATACTTGTGATCCTGAGCTTGATCCACAGCAGAGCCCTCCATTTATTCCTCAGAATGATGTTAACTGACCAGGAAGCTCGGGTACAGAGCCCTCTAGCATACACAGGCTGTCCCTTGCTGGCTCTCTGTGGGAGGCAGCAGGGCCATGAGCATGGAGCAACCCCCGCTGACTCCCAAATCAAAAAAGAGTCGAGGTTCTGACAGGTTCTACTAGCCACCTGGACCCCTGCTTGTCTGTGCCTCTGTTTCTACTTTCCTGTGGCTGTATGAGAGGGCATGAATTATTAACCCGGCTAAAATAAAAAGCTCTGCTTCGTCCAGGCCTCCTGTAGCCATGAATAATGGAAGAGGCAGCTCAACTACAGGCGTTTGGTGAGTCAAACACAGGGCCGTGATGGATGGCTAAGGGCCCACTGAGTCCCCCCCTCCTCACCTACCATCTACTTCAGGTCCACCACACCCTAAAACCCAAAATACACGTCCAGATAACCTCTATTAATCTGAAAGTGCTACAGCTAGAGTCCTCCTGCCCAGTCTCAGCATTCCCACTTGATAATTTGGATTCCTGAAGGGATTTTTGTTTGTTGTTTGTTTGTCTTTCTCCTGCCCTTGCTTGCCTCTGTTTTGCTTCACGCTGGCACTTCTGTAGTCATATGCAAGCCTGCCCTGATTTTTCAAAGGCAGGACCTGACTCAAGCCAGCTCTCTTTCCCCTTAATACTAAAACCCTGAGGATGAGGCGGATACATGTGAGCTGGATTTCTGCTCAGTTCCCAAGAGGATGCGTTTTCCAATTTGTACCAATGGATTGGTGTATGATCACATCATTTTTTTATACAGAAGTGATAATTGATTTTCCATTTGCAAAGTTGTCATGTTCTGTATGCATCCGCATGTCATTTCTCACCTAAACCACCAACTGAGAATCTCATCTCAATTTCTCATGATAATATATGTATTTGATCTATTTTTATACATATTTCTGTTCTCAACTGATAGTTATTATTAATATATATTATTTGATTACTATTATTATTCAAGTGAATCAATTTGACATGTTCATTCAACCCTGTAATTCAAATTTTTGTGAAATTATACAGTAGTTCCATGCAGAAACATGGTATATTAATGTGAGACATCATGTATATCCATGAAAATGTTTGACACTAAATATTCTGTTTTGTAGTTAGACTCTGTCTTAAAACGAGCTCAAATCTCAGCTTGTGATAAAAACCCAGAAAATAGTTAATGATTATTAATGAGGAGCAATGGCATCGTAAAATAGGCATCAAACTATATTTTTTTATGCTAATCACTTTTCAATCAAATATGTGAAATTACAATTTAATTACCCTTGAAATTACATGGTTTGTCAGTCTAAGTTTGGCAAAACAAAAATTCATAAATGTCATAAAATAAATATATTTTAACTTTTTTAAACTGTCAAATCTGTCTCAAGTCATACACAAAAGCCAAATAAGTCTTGTACACATTTGGCATTTATGGTGTTTGGGGGAGTTTTGTATTCATTTCTAATATCTATTAACTTCAGTCTGCATTCACTCTCTAGAGAAACAATCATGTAAAAAAAATCAGTCAAAGGGTGCTTTTACACCTATTGTTCTTTTCAATTAGTCTGTCCAAGGAATACATTATACATTTTTGGCTTTTACATTCTTGGCTTATGGTCCGTTACATGTTCACACCGACGAACCAAGACCTGAAATCCCAGGTTACCCCATTGACTTTCATCCGGCATCATCAGAGCTACATGGACACACGTTGGAAATTCAGATTCTAGAGAATGACAGCAATCAGTGCATCACATTACTGCACCTTATTTTTTTTATTGATCTTCTCTGATGAGCACACAGAAATAAAATTTTAAAAAGAGCACTGTTTGTCGAGACTGAAACTTGACTATGACCTTGTAAAGCATTTCTGAAATAGGATGAACAGGTGGAATTGGGACAAAATGAGGTATTATGTACTATAATATTACTGGTGGATAGTTACTTTATTGGAGAACTGCAACACATACAGATGATTGCTTCCTAACCAGCCCATGATCAGCAGATAGATTTAGCAGTTTGGCCTTTGAAATCATGCTTAAATCATATATCAAAAAATCCTGTGGTTTGTCTGCAGGCTTTCATGTCACAGCCCAACTACACCAGAGTCTGCATCGAAGTGGATAAAGACCCACCTTTTCAAGCAGACTCACTAATCAAACTGAACAAAATGGGCAATGCTGGCGGAGCTGATCGCAGCCATTCAAGTAAATGTTTGTGTTGACACCAGAAGCGCTGCTGTGCGTCCCAGAAGTGTCCCAGCATCGAGCAGCACAGAGCAGATGAACCGGGAAGGTTGTCAGACACACAAACGGCAGAAAATCTGGTCAATTTCCAAAATAAAACATCCGGTACAGACTTTGAATCGTATATCAATAATAAACACAGTTAAGTGAGACAAAAAATAAATAATTTAACTACGTCGCCTACTCAATCATAGTACAAGCACAAAAAGCAAGCACTAATCACCTAATCAACAAAATCTAAACATGTTGGCAAAATCCAGCAGGCAAATCGCTCTTATTCTGAAATGCTCCCTGTGGTAGATGCGAGATGCACCCGTCAAGACGAGGAACGCAAGCAGAGAGCTGTGAAGAATGTAGTAGAAGCACAAAAAGGACATATTAAAAACAAGTGTTTAACGTGTGTCAGGCTGTATGCTCCGCTGCTGAAACACTTCTGAGAGGCCTCCAGTGGACTTTGACGCCGGAAATAAAACAACTACTCACACGCAGCCTACGTCTGTCCCCCAGAATTCCCATGATGCAAGAGGGTGAAAGGAGTTTTGTTAAAATTTTTCTAATAAGTTTGCCATTTGTTTGAAATGCAAATGTTACTATATGATTTATGTTTATTAAAATGTGTCTCCTTAGAATATAGTGTTTTTGTTGGTCATTCTTGTGCTGGGTTTATAATTGAAGCCGGGAGTGAAGGGACTGTTTCATTTGACAAGTGCTGCTGAATTTTACCCGTACACCGGAACTGCATGCAGTTGTTCACATATATCCATAATCAACTGAGCTAAACTTCATGGCCCACACGTAGGGGGGCCTCCAGCTGGGGTCCTGGGTAGGCCGCCCCCATGCACCCACGCTACCTCCGCATATGGTGGAAAGCAACCTAAAAATATACTGATACTTCTGTATTGTGTGAAGAATCCTTTGGCTTTCACAGTGGAGTGGATGTCTGGGTTTTGGTTTGGAAGCAGCTTACCCAGAACACCCAGCTCTGTCCCCCACTGTTCCCTGTCTCTCCACAACTGTGCACAATAAGCTGACATGCTCCTGGATTGCTGACTACCAGATCTACTTGGCTCTGGCAAATGTTCAACTTAGGTAGAAATACGATAAATTGACTGCTGTTAGACTTCCGCAATAAAATGCGAGATGTAGCTAAATAAATATCTGAACTTAACTCAACCCTTTCTACTGTTGTAAGCCGCTTCAAGAAACACTTCACTGACTCTCTCCCCTGTGAGTCACATCTTCCTCTCCTTCTGCCTCCTACTCTGCCTGCTCTGCTATGCGCTCATCTGAAGTTGATAGAAAGAATTGTCTCCAGCGCGCTCTCTAGCTTGTGTTTCTTTCTTCTTCAAACACTTATCTAGCCCTCCTCCATTATTCCAGGGTCACATTTTGTTACAACTACTATGCAAGGCCATGTGTTTTGCACTCCTTTTCGTTGCCTCTAATCTGTGACTTATAAGCATGATATCTTAAGAATATCTACTTTCTGCTAACAAATATTTTGTGAATTAAACCCACCTTGGTTGTCTTAACTTTGTTTCCTGTACTGCAGCTCCATCCTTTGAGATCTGGCAGCACTTTACACTCTTCCCCGTCCATGCAGGGATGCATCTGGCACCACCATTTCTGTGCAACTATGGATGCTGTAAAGGAAAAGAAAAGAAAGAAAATGGTTAAAAAAAGAAAGGGCTACTTGGGGTAGCAAACAAAATGCAGTTTGAAGGTGTACCATGGTTCTGCCCTGTCTGAAGCAACAAGTGCCTTTGGTTTCTCTATACATCACAGTGATTGGAGACAGTGTCTTTTGATCTCCGGCTGACAGAGGAGACCCGTCAGTCCTGCCACGGTGTGTTGTCAGGTCTGAATTACAGGGCGTGGGTCAATGTCAAGTATTTGTGTGTTGGTGGCTGGTGAATGCAGTGTGTGAAGAGGGATGATGTTTGTATGTAGGAGGGGTAATAATGTGTGCAGCAGAGGTTGGTGAGTCAAGGTCTTGAGTTCCTCTGAGGAGGCCTACAGGGGAGAAACAGCTTCCCCTGATATTTCCAAAGTGAAAAAATAACTGTCAAAGTCGAGGTAGCCCCTGTCAGAGCCATTACACTGAAAAGAGGAGATAGGGATCGATTCACCTGTAACTGAGGCCACTTTTGACATGATAATAAATGTCCTGGCTATCTGTCTGTCTGCACAGGGTTTGATATAGCCTCAACAAAAGGGTGAATGAATGCACAGGTTTGCTATTTAATTTCAAAGATTATAAAGCCTTTGGGACACAACAGCAGGACCATGAAAATCTCAGCTCTGTATTTTGTTTTCTTCTTTCATACAATAAACCTCTCATGTCCAAATAATAAGTGAAATAATTACCAGAGGCACAGTGACAGGTGTGACAGTTTTGCACCATACTACAGTTCTACCCTAATCAAAAGTCAATCATTACCAAAACTATAATGAGAAGCTTGGCATACCGTCTACACAAGATGGAGCTGCTCTTGTTGTTCCTGCCACCTGTCCAGGGAAGCAGGAGCATTTGACAGTCTGGGATCTCTCTTCAATCTTGTTCTTGTTGCAGCATCGGTGTGCAGCAATTACCTCACAGGTTCCTGCTTTCACATGAACTGAAAGCACAAGCATACACAATGGTTAGATTGCATGTGACGGCTCTCTGCAACTGTAGTTCAAATTTTTATGATGCTTCTCACCAAAGCATTATAGTAACACATAATAGAACTCTGTAAGAATATGCTAGTCACTGTTGGAGTCTTCTTTTATGTAAAAATGTGTTTCTTTGTTTTTTTTTGTGTTTTTAAAAGATTGCATTAAAAGACCTAAAGTATCAGCCTGGTTCTCTTTCGGACTTCCCTGTCTGTATCCCTCAGCTGCGAGGGCATTTGTTGCCACTGAAGACACAGATCTTTAAAAATATATAATTTCCGAAATATATAATTTCATTTTTTAAAAAGTCAAAGCAATTTGTAAACCAGCTAGGCACTGTAAAAGGTGTATTTATTGGGTACTATTTTCATCTGCAGATGAATGCACTTTTAATTATATTAATACATGTTATTGGATAATTACAGCACCAGCACAGTGAATATGGCATTGTTTCAAAATTAATATAGTGCCCATGTATCATAATTAAGAAACATGTCACCAAGTGCAACTGCGTGGCTCACCGATGTGTTTTAATAATTTTTTTTGAAAACAATGGATGTCTATCATGGCACATTGGAAAAAGATATGTCAGTCTTTGGATACACAGACAATACTTTATTGATTCATTATTAACGTTGGTATTTTCATAGGATTTGTTGACATTCACCCATAGTACTTGATACTTGAATGACCTTAAAGAAATAGAAACACTTATTCACTTTATTGCCAAGAAGTAGATGAGAAGATCACTCTCATGCCTGTAAATTAAATATAAAGTAACTGTAGCTTGTTAGCTTAGCTTAGCACATAGACTGGACACAGGGAGAAACGGTAAGTCTGGCTGAGGGCATTTGAGTAATATCTCGGCACAGTCTTGTTTCAAACATCATAGCTACTTGAAATCCAGGTCATCTCCCAGGTGGAAGAGCCTGGCTTTGAACCCAGTGCAGCCCCACCTGTCCACGTATCCTTGAGCAATACGCTTAATCCACTGACCCTGCACCCCAACCAGAGGACGAAAAGAGAATTTCTCCATTGGGATAAGACTGATGTAGTTACACAACACCAAAAACACACAGACTTCCAGAAAATGACTGGATTAACATCAGTAAACTGCAGAGAACTGCAAAAAACATTGCAATATCAATTACAAGGACACTGTTTTCCCTGTCAGTAAGTTGGATCAAACATCAATACTGCTCTCTATTTTGTATTCATTACTTTTCTGCATAGACTCATCACCATTCTGGGCATGTTTGTGTATTTATACGCAACAATCAGGATTGGACGGGTGAAAAAAATAAATAAAAAAAGCATTTCAAAAGTTTTGACATTCCTTTCAGATAAGCCTTAATTATGCCCGTAAAGATTTTCAATTTGGAACTTGACTTGAAAATAGATTGCAGTGAGCTTCTATCTTCCTATTAGCTAGCAATCCAGAAATCTCATCTAGAACATTAAAAACATTTAGCTTCCAATCAATAAGGTGCTATTCACATTCCCACAAAAGGCAAGACAACAATTGCCGATTGAGTGCTTTTCACCGACCAGAAACTTACTGATGCAAAAACAGGTCAGGCTCCATGCCCTTGATGTGATTATCTTTAAGCCAGCAGCACGCCCCCCGGTCAAAGTTAATTTCAAAAGTTGGAATAGCTTGTATAGAATATTCAAACTTTGTTTAAGAGATAGATGCGCATGGACAATAGGCAATCACAAAAGGTGCAACGAGCAAAGGCACTCATTATAAATCATCTTATTATAAGGGAAAACTAATAATATGTTTGCTGTCAGTGTCTAGAAAGTGCTCAACCATTTTAACTTGACAGCATTATAAACACAAATCAAGACTGCAATACAATAATAAGATAATATTTCTCTATTACCCTTATAATAGAACTGTATTATCTGTCAAATGGAACATGTCAAGGGACAGGTTGTCATGTTGGGTCAAGTCTGTCTTTGTTCTCCCTTTCCCTTTGTTTCTGTCTCCCCTGTTAGTTCTCTGTGCGTCTATGCACGTGTGTGAGTCTGTTGGCATGGGCGTGGCCTTTTCCTGCCACCTCTCCTGGCTTCACACACCTGTTTACTTTCTACCAATGCTCCTGCTCAGCTTACTCAGAGTCCTGCATTTGGGTGCAGTCTCTTAGAAAACGTAACACAGATATCATTCTCAAAGCCTTTTAAATATTTTCAGCTTTGTCTGCAAGTCTTGTACAGTGATGTGCTTCATTGGATGTAGTTTTGCTGTACGTACGCCCACTCTGCTGTGGTGTGAAAAGAAGCTACTATGTGAGCTGCGGCTAGGTCTGGCCTGGGACTCTCGACTCATTAAGGTGCAGGAAACGGCTGGTTGGGGCTGCGTTCATGTGGAGAGAACTGCTGATTAAAACTGGAGCTGCAAGCCAAGGTTGCTGACTCCGAGGCTGGACCCCAAACCACCATGCAGTGTGGACAGGATGAGAGGTCAGAGAGCAAGGTGTGGTGGTCAGCCCAAGCTGGCAACCATCCACATGAGAAGAAACAACCATGAACTGTCTGACTACTGTTGTTACTGTATACTAAATGTCGGGTTTGTGAGACAATGGAGCATAGAAAGTGTATTAAAAAAATAGGGAAAGAACTTTAACTAAATTGAACTAATGAAGATAATATTATTTTGCAATCTTCACAGCATTGAAGCATGTCACAAGAAAGGAGATAAAGTGAACACAGTGTAAAGAGTACACCCTCGACTTAACGAGGTGGACATTAAACATTAAAGGAATGGTTTGACATTTGGGAAATACACATGAGAGGATTGATACCAGTGTCGTGTCAGTCCACTGAATCTACAGCCAGGAGATGGTTAACTTAGCTTAGCATAACCCACTGTAAAGCCACATCTTGTCATTTTTACATTTTGGTCTTAAATTAAACTAAGGAAATAAAATGTATTAATTAGTGAGCTTCAGTGGTGATGATAGGTGGAATTTGTTACCGTTGGACAGAGCCAGGCTAGTTTCCCCATAAGCATATCTTCCAAAACATCTCTTTTTTTAAGGATATATTTGAAAGAATGTGGAAAGGGTGATGTCAACTTAGATTTCATAATGATACAACATATATTTTATTTGCTTTGCAGTTTATTGTGTAGGCACAATGTTTGTGTGAAGTATGGAGAGAGATACAAACGTTTATAGTTATGATCACTTGTATGTTATGAGCTAATGACTATGGCTACTTAAGGGTTCTGGATGGCCCTTTGTTTGAAAGAAAAGAAAAAATATAAGTGACAAGAACAACGTTTATAAATCATTTGGGGAAAGGTGTGTATATTATCGCTGCTTTTTTTTCTCACATCCTTTCAGTCAAACAAACAGTACACAAATGCTTACAGTTGAGAGCTGGCAGGTAATATTGCTCAAGGACACATTGACTGATTCTCTGGTTGTAAAACCACCAGGGTCACCTTGTCACCCTGTTCACAAACCATGCTCTCTGTTTGTATCAATGGGAACAACTGAATGTCAAGAAGTGTTAATGCATACATGTAAGAGAGAAGCTGCCTGTTTTCTCCATGTGCTCTGTGTGTGTGTGTGTATCCAGGCGAATATTTAAATATACTCACAACACCGGTGGTTAATACATTTCAAGCACTTAGGATTGTCATCAGTAAGAATCACAAGCTACCCACGTCAGCAGGAGGGAGAGATGAGGGACAAAGAAAGTTGAAAGGACAGAGACCACTAATGAGAACTGACTGCCCAACCCTTCAGCCAATCAATACCACTCTGAAACAAAGCACTCTCCTCTACAATCATATTAATCGATTCCTGATTGATAAATGCCAGTATGCAACCAAAAAATGCACAGAGCTTAAGGGGAAAAATAGAGGGAAACTCATTTTGTTCTAACCTTCTCTTAAAACACATGCTGTACATGTGAGCATATGAGGTGCTTACGTCAGTTTCAATTTATTACTACAGCAAATTTAAAGCATTTCTTTTAAAGGACTCAGGTTGTGTTTGAGATTAGGACTGGGTGACAAAGTATAAAATCTGTATGCATAAATTGCCAGATTGATGTCATCAGTTTTGTAGCAATGACATTAGCTAATACATTTATCACATCTTCTATGACAAATATACAAAACTTATCCAAGCTCCTTTTTAGATTAAAATTTGCCCATCTTGTCAAGACATCACAGTTGTTAAGATACGTAAGACAAAAACCAGGTATGTGAGTGTCACTAACCAACTGACTGGAATTTGGCTGATGGAAAAACCTGGAATAATTTGCAAGACTAGCTCCTCCAACATTCATATTTCAGCATTAAAGTACGTTCACATCTATTCATCCCAGTCCAGTATCCCCAGGAATTACCTTCCTATTGGGTGATTTGCATTTTACAATTTTTGCACAGCACCAATGTTGAGTGCTAATGCCACATTCACGTTATATCGTTTAAACTGTAAATGCATGTCTATAAAAACTTTGCGTTCTAATTTCCATGTCAAAGACATTCTGCATATCCAACAGTGACAATAACCCCAATAACTTAGTAAAATGAACTACAGACATGTTGTTTGTATTTGGTTTTACTGGTTAAACAGATACAAATATGTAAAAAAGTAGCAAATTAAAACTATTAAATTGTGTGGGAGACCGAACTTCGCATCTCATCCCAGGCCTGCAAATAATGTAACAGTAACTAGTCATTACCTAAACTTAACCAGTTGTTATAGTTGCTGAACTTTAACAATAGTTTATTTGATATAACCACAATATTTACCTAACCACAACTATAGTAGAAGATACAAAAATCTTTTTTTTTTTATTTTTAAGGTAAAAAATGTATTTGAAAAATTCAACATAATGGGGGTTGGTTTTGCATAATTGTCATATCAGTGTTCTTCTCCAACAATAGGGTTGATTCATCCAAATACATATTCTCTACTTTCCACAGAGGGGTTGAATAAGT